GTGTGTTCATGTGTGCGTGTGCCCACTTGGTGATGCTCATATGTGCACGTCTCTGTGCCGCGTGCGTGCGCGTGTGTGCGCGTGTGTGCGCGTGTGTGCGCGTGTGTGTGCGTGTGTGTGCGTGCCCACACGCGTTTATGAGAGGAGAAGACCATCTCCAGCTTCCTCGGCCTGCATCTCATCCGCCATGCGTCCCGCGGATTTCCGGAAGGCTGGGCCCTCTGGGCACCTGTGCCCCCAGCGTGGATGCGGCTCTCTCCCTCCTTAGGCCCTGAGACCTCTCGCCTTCCTTCAGCCTGACAACTCTTCTTAGTTTGGGGGCTGGGGGTTGGGGGTGCAAAGTCCAGTCCTCAGGGCCACTGTCGCCTGGGAAGCAGGAGGTGGACTCGGCCCAGCTCGGCCACCACCGCAACTGTACCACCCCCTGGTCGCTTTCGCAGGCTCACAAGGTGAGCGCCACCTCCACGCTCCCATCGCTCAGGCCGGTCCCCGGGGGCGTCCTGGTCACTGTCCTTTTCTCATACCCCACATCAAAGCCATCGGCAAGTCCCGTCGGCTTTATTTTCAAAACGTGCCCAGAATCCAGTCACTTCTCTCCCCTTCTGTGCCACCACCTGTCTGAGCCTTCATGATGACAACCTCCTGGCTGCTCCTCCAGCTTCTCCCCTGCGGGGTGAGCCTATGAAAGCCAAACCACTCCCGCCTTGTGACGGGCCATTAACCAGAGCCTGTGTCATCCAGCTCTACCCCCACCTGCTCTGGAGCCCCCGCCTGGCACCTGACAGCCCTCTCTCCTCTCTCCCCCCGCTCCAGCCACACCGGCCCCCTCGAGCTTGCCCAGACACCAGAGGGGCCCCTTTCCCCAGGGCCTGGGCACGGCTGTCTCCTCTGAGAGCGCGCTCTGCCCAGACCCCACACGACTCGCTGCTTCACCCCCTCGGGTGTCGGTCGAATCCGCCTTGTCCGTGACCTGCCTTGTTTTCCCAAGCACTTCTAGTTTACCAGATGACTGACTCGTTCATTTAGCACTTTACTGCCCATAAAACCTCTCAGCTCATCAGATGCAGGGCAGGAGTTCGCTCCCACCTTCCACAAGGAGGAGGGGACCTGATGTGGCTGGGCGCCCGCCAAGTGCAAAGCCGTGGCTCTCTTGGTCCCCATGCAGCCTCGGAGGAAAGAGATTCCCACTCGGCTCTCCCAGAACCCCAGGAACTCTGGAGGACCGGGGTGGCCACTCCCCGACCGGTTCCGCAGACAACATTCGGAAGCTCCCCCTCGTCCCTCCCCGGGGACAGTGTGGGCCCCTGAGCTCTGGGGACCGACAGAGAGCTAGCAGGCACCTCGGACGCCCTGGGCCCCATCTCGGCCCCTTTACACAGACTTGACCCACCGTGTGGGTTCGCGCTGTGGTGGGGGGATCCCCATGTGGGCGCAGACCCCCGAAACCCACCGGACCACCCGCCTCCGTCATGCCGCCCGTCTCGCATCTGCTTCAGGGTTTCCGGCTCCTCAGCCCGGGTCGGCGTCCCCCTGGGTCGGATCTGCCCGCCTGCCCCCCGGCTCCCCCACACCGGGGCTCCAGGTGAACCATGTGCTTGGCGGCCCTGCCCTCTTTGTTTCTTGGAAGTGCATTGGTGGCATCAGAAGAGGGCCACCCACTGCAGGGGACGCCCAGGGGGACAGGTGCCACAGGGTTGGCGTCAGCTCCCCACTGGAGTTCCGTGTCCATCCCCGACCCTCGGCCTCTGTCCCGGTGTGGAGTCCGGCTCTGTCAGGTCCTTCTTCTCCCGAAGACCCACACAGACCCCTTCCCCGCTGTCAACCCAACACCAGACTCTCGTACTTGAAGTTGGTGGCCTCCCAGGCCATGTCCACGGAGCATTCGCCACCCTCTCGCTTTGTGCCTGGCAGTGAGTATGTGGGGGCTTCGCCCGCACTGGCGCACGTCACCTGACGCCTGCCCTCACCACATAGCAGGTCCCACGCGTCCAATGACAAAAGATTCAGAGAGGTCAAGGGCACACAGCCAGTCAGGGGGCAGCCAGGACCGATGCCCACAGCTATGGGCAGAGTGAGTCCATCAACAGCTCCTCTTTCAAAGTCACCCCAACAGCCAGGGAGACAGTGGGGCCTCACCAAACCCTGACCCCGAGGCCAGGCCTCCTGGGGTCTTCAGAGCAGCCTTGCGGTCCACTCCTCCAGCCTGGCCTCCCCTGGGCTCTGTGTGCAGTGCTGCATCGAGAGAACTCAACCCAGAACTAGGAAGACGGGACCCCATGTCCAGGCACAGAGCTGGCGGGTGCAAGGGCTGGCCGGGCGGGGAGGGCAGGGGGCAGGAGCAAGGTCCCCGCTGACCCTGCTGACCCCGCCTTGCGCCTTGCCCCTCGGAGCGCAGTGCCCTCCTCGCTGAGGGAGCTGAGCAGACTGTGGGCCCCACCCTTGTGGTGACTCATGACTCTCACAGACCAGACCCCTTATGCCGGGGCCGCTGAAGTCTTGCCATAGTCAACATGGGCCCCAAAGACAGACGGACAGACAGACAGACAGCCTTTATTATCCACCCCCTCCAGACACCTGATTCTACCACTTACCGCCACCAGGGAAGAGGCCACCAGTGCGGGGGCCTGAGACTGCGGCCTCGTTCCAGGTGGCCGGTGGGCGGCTTCCGCCAGCCGCCCGTCAGGCCCCGCACTGCAGGGTCCCTTGTCCAGGCCTCGGCCAGCCGGGGCCATGTTGATCTTGGAGAACCGGTGGGCACTCAGAGGGTTCCAAGCAAGGTGTCCCTCAGCTGCCTATGGAAATTACTTTATGGTCCGTGGAGGAGTTGGGCAAGTCCCATCTTGCAAGTATTTCCAGGCTCGAAATGCCGTGGTCACGTTCCACGGCGGAGAACTTTGGGGCCCAGTGTGACAGTACGAATCTCAAGCCACGAAGTCAGGCATCCTAGAACTCAGCTCTTCTGAGGATCTGTCCCGTGGGTGGCACAAGGCAGCCCTCAGTTCCCCACCCCTACCCTGCCGCACCTGCCCCCCGACGTTGGAAATTCGGGGGGAGGGGGCTGATGAAGCAGACAGTATCCATGCCATGCCCACCTGCCCCCAACTCTCCTTCCGACTTCTTTGGAAATTCAAAAGTCAAGAATTAACTTCTGAACAGTACGATGGTTCCTCAAAAAGTTAAACTGAGAATTACCGTATGATCCAGCAATTCCACTTCTGAATATAGACCCCCCAAAAACTGAAAGCAGCAACTCCAATAAATTTGTTCACCCATGCTCGTGGCAGCGTTATTCACAAACGCCGAAAGGTGGAACAGCAAGTGTCCGTCGGTGGGCGACCGGGGAGACCACATGTGGTCCGTTCGCATGATGGAATATTATTCAGCCTTAAAAAGGAAGTGGCTTCTTACACATGCTCCAACGTGGACGAACCTCGAGGACATTACGCTGCGTGAGATGAGCCAGTGACAAACGGACAACTGCGATCCCACGGCTCAGGGGTGGCATATTCGTGTGCTGTGCCTGCAGACAGCAGGTTAGACCTGTCGTTTAGTAAGTACAGGGCCTCCGTGTGGGAAGACGACGGCGTCCTGGAAATGGGTAACGGTGACCATGGCACATCAACATGAACGTACTTAACGCCCTGACGAGCGCACTCGGTAGTGGTTAAGATAGTCAATTTTATGTCGTGTGTATTTTACTATAATAATAAAAAAAAAAAGTCACCCAAAATTTTTAACTTCTCTCTTCTCTCTTTTCTGTCTTCTGGTGTCTGAGCTGGAGACAGTGGGGCTCGACCCAGGCGATCGTGTCCCCTCCCCCACCGAGGGGGACATTGGGCAATGTTTGGAGACATTTCCAGCTGTCATAACTGGGTGTGGGAAAGGATGCTTCTGGCATCCGGTGGGCAGAGACTAGGGGTGCTGCTCAGCACCCTACAATGCGCGGGGCAGTCCCCACAGCAGAGAATGTTCCAGCCCCAAATGTCGACAGAACCAAGGCTGAGAAAGCCTGTTCTGCAGGAAGGACCAAGGGGGTCTGAAAACAAAACGCTAGGGCTTCAG